CAAGGGGATGAACCGGTGGAAGGGAAAGAGGAAGATCAGGACTCAGAGGATGAGGAGTTCACCTCTAGGCAGGAAGGAACTCAGAGTGTCTACAAAAAATTAAGCTTGCGTTTTCTTGAAAAACTTAAAAAGGCTTGTGCTCACTATGGCCCCACTGCACCTTATACATTGGCTTTATTAGAAAGCCACAGCGCACAATGGCTTACTCCTAATGATTGGAAATTTTTAGCCCGAGCTACCCTCAGTGCCGGAGACTTCCTGTTATGGAATGCAGATTTCAAAGAGCACTGTCGGGAAACTGCTCAAAAAAATTTAACTAAGGCCTCCTCTAAATCCTGGACTTATGTTAAGCTAGTGGGCAATGCGCCCTTTGACACTAACCCTAAACAGGCGCGTTTCCCTGCTGGACTTTTGGCGCAGATTCAGATGGCTGGCTTACATGCTTGGAGACACCTCCCTCAAAAGGGCTCGGCTACCACTTCCCTGGCAAAAATCCGACAAGGGCCTGACGAGCCTTATAGCGACTTTGTTGCCCAGCTCAACCTAGCCGCGGAATGCCTACTTGGACCAAGTGAAAGCGAAAGCACCTTTGTAAAACATCTTGCCTTTGAAAACGCCAACCCGGCATGTCAGGATGTTCTTCGACCACATAAGGATAAAGGGGAACTTTCTGACTTTATTAGACTCTGTGCCGGGGTGGGTGCAGCCCATGCCATGGGTCTCGCCATAGGTGCCCCCTTTACCAAGGCCTTTTGTAATCCTGGCTCACGTACTTGCTTTACTTGTAAACAACCTGGCCATTTTGCATGCCAGTGTCCGACAGGCAAACAAAGCCTAGGGATAGCATCTCCTCAAACTGGGGCTAAACCACCCCCAGCCACCCTTTGCCCTAGATATGGTAAAGGTCATCACTGGGCCAATGAGTGTAGATCTAAGAAAAATGCCCTTGGACAGCCTATTTCTTCCCGCTTCTCGGGAAACTCCCTTCGGGGCCAGGGGCTGACTTCCCCCAGGACAAACCCAGGGGCAATAAGGTTTGTTCCCTCCCAACTCCCAGATTTAGATACCAATACATTAGATATTTTGGAAACACCTTCTCCTTGCTTAATAATTCCAACCCCACCCTTGCTGGTGATTGCTGGCTCTGCATGACAACAGGGGCAATCATGCCTATGGCAGTTCCTATTAATTCTATCATAGACAATGATAATACATGCCAACCGGATTTCCTTTTAAAGTACAGCCTATAAGCACTTTTACATCATGTCTTTTAGGCGTGATGCAGAATAATACCTATGATATTGATGTTGGAGTTACTTCCTTTGGAAATTGCTCAACAGTACAAAATTATTCCTCACCCACCCCATCTCTTTGTCCCCCCAATGGCACAGTTTTTATGTGTGGAGGAAACTCGGCCTTCCCCAGGCTTCCAGGGAATTGGACCGGTGGCTGTGTTCTTGCCTTATTACTCCCTGATATAACTATTGTCCCAGGAGATGAACCTCTACCCATTACTAGCCTAGACACCTTAGTCAAAAGACACAGGCGGGCAATACAGGCCTTACTACTCCTTGCCAGCCTTGGAATAATAGCTGCTGTGGGCACAGGTACAGCTGGCTTAGGCACGGCTATACACTCTTACTGTCGCCTGTCTCAACAATTTATAGATGATGTACAAACTCTATCAGGAAGCATTAAAGATTTACAGGACCAAATAGACTCCCTGGCAGAAGTGGTCCTTCAAAACAGAGGAGGCTTAGATTTGCTGACAGCTAACCAGGGAGGTATTTGCTTGGCCTTAGGGGAACGATGCTGCTTTTATGCCAATAAATCAGGCATAGTACGCACTAAAATTAAGCAGCTTCAAGAAGATCTAGAAAAGAGACGAAGGGAACTATTTGAAAATCCCCTCTGGACTGGGCTTAATGGATTTTTACCCTACCTTCTTCCACTATTAGGCCCTTTGTTGGGTTTACTTCTAATGGTGTCCATAGGACCCTGCATTATAAATAGGCTGGTAAAATTTATTAAAGAACAGATTAATATTTTGGCCTCTAAGCCCATACAGGTCCACTATCATGGTCTGGAGATGGAAGACCGCGCTGCCAACATTTAAAAGGATGTTCCACCCTTCTCACAGGCTTATTTCTTAAGTTTACATCCCCACAGATATCTCTTTCTTATATAAAAGTATAAGTCACAGCTCTGACCAACCATCTTCTGCCCTTGCCATAAGGGTTAAGTTATCCCTGCTCCCATGGACCCCTCCGCTTGGGGGAGGACGCACCCATGGAGTGAGGACGTTAGGCCAAAATAACGGAGGGTGCAGGAAGGACTGCAGGAGGATGGATCCACGGATCCCAAAACCCAAGACCTCTGAGTGACACACTCTGGTGCATGGCGGTTGGCATGCTTCTCCCTCAAAACCATCTCCTCCAAAAACATGCCAAGGCCACAAAATCTCCTAGTGAAGACGCTCGCTCGGATCAGGAGATATTCTAAGGCCTCCTAGAGGAACAGAGCCTCTATCACCCCCTAAAAACATGGCCAATAAGGTATGGTCAAATATTTTATATAAGAAAGGGGGAAATGCCAGGGGCTAGAAGGAAATTCTCCTTCAAAGAATAGCCTGACACTTACAAGAAACAGCCCCCTGGGAGACATCCTGCCTGGGAGACATCCTGCAGCCATCTATCTCCCTGAGACATCCTGCGGCCATCTGTCTTCCTGAAACATCCTGAGGTTATCTCACCTTGTGAAGACATCCAGCAACTGCTTCCCCATCCCCAGAGAGCTTCCCCATCCCCAGCATATAAATACCCCTGTGTGAACAATAAAAGTTTGCAGCTTGATCAGAACTCCTGTCTTGCTGTCATCCCTCATGTCTCTTGTCCCTTCATTCCTCCCCACCTAGGTTCGCCGCCGTCGTTGATGTGTCCTGCCAGTCGGGACAATACAACATTTCCTTTTTTAAGATAATGTTATTCTGTATGTGGTGTCCAAATGAAAACCGTTCTTGTCTAGTTTGAGAGTTGTTAGAATGTTTGACTTCAATCTTCCAGGGGGAAAATGAAGGAAGCTAGTTTTCTTATCAACAGAAACTGAATTTCACAGAAGGATTTTTAACATAAATAAATAAATAAATAAATAAACAAACAAACAACAATCCTTTCACATATGAAATGCAAATTCACCAAATGAATCTTTTATTTTTTCTTAAACCTGAGCAAGAAAAGTACTGAACTAGTATGGATAATATTATGCAATTTCTCTTCACCAATTCTGGGAACTGAATTATATCCCACCAGATTTATACATTCAAGTTTTACCTCAGTACCTCAGAATGTGACTGTCTTTGGGAAAGAGGGGCTTAAAGAGGTAATTAAGTTAAAATGAGGTCATAAGCATGAACTCTAATCCAGCATGATTTGGATCCTTACAAGAAAGAAAAATTAAGACACATATGTCACACACAAGGAAGACCATGTGAACACACAGAGAGAAGATGGCTGCCTACAAGCCCATAGACTTTTATCAGGGGTAAACTCTTGTAAGCAGATAGATTTACATTTCAGAGTTGCTTTGTTCTCTTCCAATATCAGAAGTTTCCTTTTAGACTTCTGTCTGTATGTATGCTTCAGATTAACTCGATGCACCCACTAAATGCAGGACACTCAAAACTTCAAGTCAGAAATAGGTACTGAATGGTTCTACATGTGAAAACCAAAGAACTATAAATCTTCTTAGTAAATGATTTTGCAAATTCTATAACATTATCATTTTTTTCTCACTACTTCTAGATCACAAATACTTTGGTTCACAAAACTGAGGGAGCTGGGACAATTAAAGTTTTTCTAAAATAAATTAAGTGTCACAGAACCTAACTTATGTATATATTTTTTCTTTCCGCTGTTTCTTCCCTTTTTCTTATTTTATTATTAATCATTTTAAATTGTGTAAACTATCAAGTTACTTATAATTCATGAGGGATAATATTGTAAAATAATTTTATTAGTTTATAGAATAGAATTAATAAATACAAGATAATCTTTTTACAGAATAAATGGAAAGGAATTCAGCTGACTGAATAAATGGCATAAGTTCTGTCTCTCCATGCTTCATCAGCAGCACATGAATAATTCTTAATTATACATAAAAACATTATTCAACATTACTACATATTATTTTTTAAACTGTTAGTTTATATACAATTACTACTTTTTTTTAAAGAGAGAGAGAGAGAGAATTTTTTTAATATTTATTTTTTAGTTTACGGTGGACACACATCTTTATTTTATTTTTATGTGGTGCTGAAGATCAAACCCAGCGCCCTGCGCATGCCAAGCAAGCGTGCTACTGCTTGAGCCACATCCCCAGCCCCAACTACTACTTCTTGAAAAAAAAAAGATATCTATCTAGATAGATAGATAGATATCTTCCCAAAAATGGGTATACTGGTTTTATTTTTACATTTAAGACTATTTTCCAAATGAGGTGAGGGATTATCATTTTCATTTCAAATGACTCCATAGAGGGACGTTGGAATTAATTCACATAGCAGGCTCCAAAACATGTCGTTAAAATAAAGCTAATATAATATAGCCAGGGTTTATCTAATTTTCATTTACTTAATCTACAAATTACACTCAGTATTTTCACTGGTTGCTATGTAGTCAATTTTAAGCACAACAGGAACCATACACTATTGATTTAATTAATATATTAATTTCCACAAACCAAGATTAGTTTAATTTGTGGAGATAGTTTTTAATTTTCCATTCCTGCTTCGAACATTGCATCCAAAAAAACAATTGCATCAAAAAATAAACAATCATATTAAAAACTATGAAGAATCAAATGTAACTAAAACCAAAAGGTAGGAATCTATTTGTTAACAGTTGTAAATATTCCACTTATTAAAGTTAACATTTTTATTGTGGTCCAATACAGTACATCCATGTTAAATTAGCACTTAAAATACATTAAAAGTATTTCCTCACCAATATTGGGGTGCTTCAAAAGACGGCAGATTCTAGCTTCCCTTTCCAGTTTCTGATGATCTGTTTAAAAAAGGAAAAAGAAAAAAAATTTTAAATACAGAGAACTAAATCACAATAAAACAAAGAAGAATAAAACATAACAAACTGCATAGCAAACAACACAAAACTTTGCTCTCATGGTGATCATTTGAATTTGGATTTAGGTGACCACCATATATTTCAACAATCTCATTTTCTATACTTTTCCCTGGCTTGATGCTTAATAGAGCGGGGTGTAGATGCTAGGGGAAATGTTAGAAATGACACAAAAACAACACTATTTTTTCTTATATTTATTGTAAATGAATATCATTACAACTTAATTTGATATAGACATATCCACTTAGAGCAGAGGATGAATATCTGGAGATTGAAAAGCCAGTGGAACCAGGACTAAAAAAGGTCATGATAGTCCACCCACACCCAGAGGAAAAGTGTTTCCTGTGCAAATCCTCTATCAACCACTTTTCTTACAATTGTTGGTTCAACTTCCTATGTGCATCAGGCTCTTCCTAATATCAAGGATTTCCAAACATCACTGCTTGTTCATCTTTACTTCCTCAACTCTACCCCCTATACTTTGGCAGTACTGGGGATTGAACCCAAGGACACTTTATTACTGAGCTATATCCCCAGCTCTTGTTAAATCTGAGATGGGGTTTCATTAACTTGCTAAGTCTGACTTCTAACTTGTGTTCCTCCTATATCAGCCTCCTGAGTAGCTGGGGTTACACGTGAGCATCACCATGCATGACTCCTATATGACTTTCTTTTAAAGGTTCATCCTTACATTTCTTTGTGTTCCCAACCATTTTCTTTACAGGGGCATGAAAACTTGTATTTTAAGAACTATCCTGACAATGTTTTTTGGTTTCTTTGTGATGGTACACAGACATATAATTATAACCAAAAATTACTTGCCAATCACATAATGACATGTCAGACAAGAACACAGAAACACACAGGTCACCCATAAAGATAGCACTGTGGAGGGCTTGTTACTTGAAAGTCTGTATACAAAACAAGTGATTGAACTTTACATAGAAGGACACTAAAGTTAAGAGAGACTAAGTGGCTTGCCCTGGATTATAATATTAGTAAATGGGTTCTACCAAATCAGCTCTCCTTAATGTCATAAAATAGACTTGAGATAGTGAGAAGAGCCCTACCTACCCATCCACAGTGTGCACCAATGGTCCTTGGCCTCTGTGACTTTCATACCCAAAATTTATCAAGAATCCCCCCAAAATTAAATATGTATTTTTAAAAACAATCATAAGTTCATTATATAGTTTATAAAATGTAACTGCATTTAAATTTTTAGATATCTTATTTGGTAATTATTCAAATTTACTGAATATTTAACAGAACATCAATAGTACAAAGAGCACCTGTGTACTATTTATCTATATACATCTATTATTAATATTTTGCTAATTCTAAAAATCATTTTTGTTCCTTTGTATGGTACATAGACATACAATTGTAACCAAAAATTACTTTGGTTATAATTACATGTCTATATAATTATATATGATGACATGAATATGTTCACAGAGTCCTTGTGCTCTCTGTGAACAAATTCATGTCATCAAATATATGTGTGTACACAGAAATATGTAAATGTACATTTATATATAACTTTTTCTGTATCATTTGAAAGTAACTTAAAAATATCAAGGCCCTTTGCCCCTAAAATTTCAATGTTTATTACCTAAGAAATAGAGTACTTTCTTACTATCACACTACATTTGCCAGAAAATTCAACATTGATAAAGTGCTTTACTATCCATATTCCAGTTTTCAACTTAACACAATAATGCCCTTTCAGTATTTCTCTCCCTCTAATACAGCATCCAGTCTCAGAACATTTCTATACCTTGTATTTTCTGATCTTGATATTTTTGAAGTATGTTACCATGTATTTTTTTAAAAGAAAACTTCATATTTTGGTCTCATCAAATGTTTGCTCATGATTTGATTTAGCCTGTGGATTTTCAGCTGCAAAACTCTGTCTCTAAGGCCATCACATCTGGAGGTACATTTTGTCCATATGTTCCTCAAACTAGAGGCTGACTTTGATCACCAGTTCAAGGTGATGTTGATTTCTCCACCAAACAATTCCTCTTTATTTTTCTTTTGTAACTTGTAAGCATGTGAGGAGATACTTTAATACCCATAAATCTCCTGTTTTTTATTCAAATTTCCCTCTGATTTAACATTCCTGCCTAAAACAATCTTTTACTATGATGGTAGAAAATATGATCTTCCAATTCTACTTCAAAAACAGATTTTTCATGACAAATACTATATCTACAAATAAATAAATAAAATCCAAAAACAAACTTAAAAGAGAGCAATTGTACAAAATGTAAAGGAGGTTTTTTAAAAATCTTGTTGATGTTTGGCATAATAGAGATAATTATTTTCTCATATTTGCTTTTATTTTCAACCTGTTGCAATATGTTGTTTTGGTTTAAGTGCAAAAAATATTTAACCTTACAAAGATATCTAGGTGGAAAGCGTAGTAATTTAATACCCTTTTTGCATAATTGTGGATATTATTCTGTAGTATTCTAACAAAACTCAACACATGGTAGTTTCTGAAGTTAAATGTCACATGAAATCTGCAACCTCATCAATAAAATTTATGAACCATAAATAAATAAGGTTATGGACTTTAATGTTTAAATCAAACACATTTTAATATTATGTATGTTAATATAAAATTGTACTTCATTACATTAAAATTTTTTTTCTTGCATTTTGAAAGAATCTTTAACTCAGGCACTATCTTATAATATGGTACTCAAGCCATTTAGAAAATGTTGGTTCAGTAAATTATATAGTCCTTTCTTTTTTTCGGGGGGGTGGTACTGGAGATTGAACTCAGGGGCACTTGACTACTGAGCCACATCCCAACCCTATTTTGTATGTTATTTAGAGACAGAGTCTCACTGAGTTGCTAAGTGCCTCATTTTTGCTGAGATTGGCTTTGGACTCATGATCTTCCTGCCTCAGCCTCCCAAGCCGCTGGGATTACAGGTGTGTGCCACCATGCCCGGCTTGTATAGTCCTTTCTAATGTTGACATATATCATTATATAATATCATAAACATAACATTTGTTAATATCACGAACAATCTCATAAGGACAATCTTTAAATTTGGAAATCAGCCAAATTCATGTGGGCAGACACAAGTTTTCCAAAATTCAAATTTTTGTTTGAAAGCTTGAATTATGATACCAGCAGTAAATGCTAGCAGTTGCAGTTTTGCTTTGAACTGAAGGGCTCAGTTCCTTTTTCAGAAAACGTCTGTCACGTACCTAAGTCTGCATAGGCACAGATAGTTTTTTAGTCATGATTTCCAGTAAAAATGGTGTTCCATGAAAAAGTAGCTAGTTTAGCTCACAGCTCAAAAAACTGCACAGGAATTTTCCCTGAGAAAGCCACTGTACTCTAGTACAGAACAAAGGAATTTCATGTATACTTCCAATTTAGTCATGTGGAATGTTGCAAAGATGCCTAATCCAAGGTCAAGACTTAATAACAGTAATAATTTTAATTGGTTCATCAAAGATAATTTTTCTTTTATGCAGTAATGGATCAAACCCTTGCAGCACATGCTAGGCAAGTGCTCTACCACTGAGCTACACCTCTAGGTAACAGATAATGTTTTAATTTTATTTTCAAAATAGTTTCAATCTTGCAGGTCCCCCTGAGAGTTCCAGGGACTCCCTAGATCAGCAGTTCAGATTTTGAGAACCTTTGGCATATACTTTAAAGAAATTTTGCATAGCAGTGGCTTTCATTTCTTTTTCCTTCCCTTCCCCTTTTTTGAAATATTTTAAGAATAAATACTTCTATTAATGCTCAGAGAAAAATGGTGTCTTGATGAATCAGTAGCACAGGATGAAGAAGCTCTAGTAGTGTGTCCCTTAAATTTGGATGACCAAATAGTTACACAGATATTCTAGCTTTAGCACCATCTAAAACTATACATACATACTTCAAATAAATATAAATTCTTCAAGTATCTTTATCACAAAAAAGTCCTTATTCTCAAGGTAAACTACTTCTAGAATATTCTTATTTAGAAGTAAACAAATAAACACAAGATATATCTGGAAAATACATCTATTAACCTTATCTTATACACTTTGAAGTGCTATATGTAAAACATATGAAAGACATGTGCTTATAGGAATTACAGTTTTGTTATGGAGACCAGGACATGCAAATATGTATACTAAATCATGTGATATAGATACATATATATAAATTATATGAAACAAATATATTAAAGAAAAACAAGGAAGCGAAAGACCTCTATAGACAGAAAGATCAACCACATTTTTGCTATAAACAAAAAAATAATTACAGATTTTTAGGTAGCCAATTGTTATGGGCTGAACTGTTTCCCTGGAAAATTCATATTTTGAAGTCCTAACCCCTAGACCTCAAAATATGCTCTATTTGGAGATGGGCGTGTTTAAATTTGTAATTAAGTTAAAATGAAGATGATAAAATAAAATTCTCGATGGGGAAGAATTTGCTTGCAAGCTCACAGGTTTATTAATAGTATTAAGTTCTTCAAGGGTAGTTGAGATGAGGGTCTTGGTTCCTGGCTGGCTTTGGATGGGGGCTGTCCTGGGTTTGTTGCATGTGTCAACATGACAACATGCTTCATAAAACCACCAAGAGTATAAGTCTGGGAAGCCAAGGGGAAAGTCACTATCTTATTTAGCCTAAGATAAGAAGCAACATCCCATCATGTCTGCCATACTCATCTGGGCAGAAGTGAGGAATGAAGCTGGCCAGATTTCAATATGACAGTGCATGAACACCAGGAGGCAAGGATTATTGGGGTCATTTTAGCTCTTGCTGCCATAGCAGACTTTACAACAGTAGTGCTGATGAGCTTTCTCTCTGATACGCAGCTTCGCTTACTTGTGCTTCCATAAAATCACCTACTTAATGATCTTCTATGAATCATAATGTGTACTGTAAGTACTCTCCC